GTTCTCGCCTCTGCGTCACCCAGGCTGGAGTGCAGTGGCTGAATCTCAGCCTCGACTGCAACCCTCCACCTCAATTTGGTTGCAACAGCCATCCTCACTGCTCAAAAGCCTCTGGAGTAAAGCGAGTAGCTGGGACTACAGCCACCCACCATCTCGCACCGGTCTAATTTTTTCGTATTTTTTAGTTAGATAGCATGAGTTTCACCCGGTGTTAGCCAGAGATAGTGCTCGACTGCCTAATCTCGTTGAGCACCCGCCTCGGCCGCGCCTTCCCCAAAGTGCGTGATTACAGGCGTGAGCCACGCACCAGCTTTTGAGCTTTTTTTTTTTTTTTTTGAGACGGAGACTTGGCCGGACTGCAGTGGTGCGATCTCGGCTCACTGCAATGTCTGCCTGCTTGGTTCAAGGTATTGAGATCAGTGATCTTCGATGTTACTGTTGTATTGGGAGTCCTCAAATGCACGCATATAAGATGGCAAACCTAATAGGTAAATATGTGTTCTGACTGCTTCACTAATCGCCTGGTCCCCCATCATTCCCTCTCCTCAAGCCTCCCTGGTTTCTGAGACACAATATTGAAATGAGGCCGGCCAGGCGCAGTGGCTCACACCTGTAATCCCAGCACTTTGGGAGGCCGAGATGGGTGGACCACGAGGTCAAGAGATCGAGACCATCCTGGCCAACATGGTGAAACCTTGTCTCTACTAAAAATACAAAAATTAGCTGGGTGTGGTGGCGCACACATGTAGTCCCAGCTATTCAGGAGGCAGGAGAATCACTTGAACCTGGGAGGCGGAAGTTGCAGTAAGCCAAGATTGTGCCACTGCACTCCAGCCTGGGCAACAGAGCGAGACTCCGTCTCAACAAAAAAGAAAGAAAAGAAAAAGAAATTAGGCCAATTAATAGCCCTATAGTGGCCTCTGAGTGTTCAAATGAAAGGAAGAGTTGCAGGCTGCTCACTTTATATCAAAAGCAGAAATGATGAAGCTTAGTGAGGAAGGCATGTCAACAGGTGAGGTAGGCTGAAAGCTAGGCTGAACAGTTAGCCAGGTGGAGAATGTATAGGAAAAGTTCTTGAAGGAAATGAAAAGTGCTGCTCCAGTGAACGCTCAAATAATAAAGCAAAACAGCTTATTACTGACAGGAAGAAAGTTTGAATGGTCTGGATAGAAGATCAAACCATCCACAACATTCCCTTAAGCCACAGCGTAATCCAGAGCGAGGCCCTAACTCTCTTCAATTCTGTGAAGGCTGAGATGGGTGCGGAAGCTGCAGTAGAAAAGTTGGAAGCTAGCAGAGGTTGACTTATGAGGTTTAAGGAAGGACACAGTCGGCTGGGAGTGGTAGCTCGCGCCTGTAATCCCAGCACTTTGGGATGCCAAGGCGGGTGGATCGCCTGAGCTCAGGGGTTCAAGACCACGCTAGGCACCCTGGTGAAACCCCGTCTCTTCTAAAATACAAAACATTAGCCAGGCCTGGTGGTGTGCACCTGTAGTCCCAGCTACTCTGGAGGCTGAGGTGCAAGAATTGCTTGAGCTCAGGAGGCGGAGGTTGCGGTGAGCTGAGATCGCGCCATCACACTCCAGCTTGGACTCTTGAGACTGTGTCTCAGAAAAAAAAAAGGAAAGACACAGTCTCTATAACATAAAAGTATAAAAGTGCAAGGTGAAGCAGCAAGTAGCTTGATGTAGAAACTGCAGCAAGTTCTTTAGAAGATCTAGCTGAGATAATTCATGAAGATGGCTACACTGACAAAACAGATTTTCAATGTAGACACAACAGCCTTATATTAGAAGATACTGTCTAGGACTTTGCTAGCTAGAGAGAAGTCCATTCCTGGCTTCAAAGCTTCAAAGGACAGACTGAATCCCTTGTGAGGGGCTAATGCTGCTGGTTACTTTGAAGCCATGCTCATTTACCATGCTGAAAATCCTGGAGTCCCGAAGAATTACACTAAATCTGCTCTGCCTGTGTGTGCTCTCTTGATAGAACAATAAAGCCTGGATGACAGCATATCTCTTGATAGCATTGTTCACCGAATGTTTTAAGCCCCCTTTCGAGACCTACTGCTCAGAAAAAAAGATTGCTTTCAAAATATGACTGCTCATAATCACTCACAGAGTCCTGATGGAGGTGTATAAGGAGATGCATGCCATTTATTTTTATTTATTTATTTATTTATGTATTTATGTATTTTTTGAGACAGAGTTTTGCTCTTGTTGCCCAGGCTGGAGTGCAATGGCGCGATCTCAGCTCACTGCAACCTCCGCGAACATTGTTGAAATGATAACAAAGGATTTAGAGTATGACATAAACTTAGTTCATAAAGCAATGGCAGGGTTTTGGAGGATTGACTCCAATTTTGAAACAAGTTCTACTGTGGGTAAAATGCTATCAAATAGCGTCATACTACAGAGAGATCTTTCATGAAAGCAAGAGTCAATGTAACTTTTATATGCATTGGGAAACCAAAATATTTGTGTGACATTACTTTATACTTGCGTTATTGTGGTGGTCTGGAATTGAACCTACAATATCTCCCGCAGATGCCTGTATGCCACTCAGGTCTAAAGTTAAACTTCTGATGTCAGTTTAGATTAAATTGGGATACATTCAGCAAATTATTAGTGAATAAAAAGTTTTGTTAATTCACGAATTTTAATTCCCAATTGTATTTTTAATTTCTTTTAAAAACTATCCCCTGCCACTGTATTCCTCCCTCGTCCCCCACCCCCATGCTATAATCTTCTGAGCTTTATGTTAGTAACCTATTTTTAAAATGTTGTCAATATTATTATGTTGAGAAATGTTCAGGCATTGATTATGTTTCTGTGTTTCTTTATACTAATAATGCGGTTTTGATTGTGTGTGTATCAGCTGCCATCTGCCCCATCGATACCATAAGCCTGCCCGCAGCTGTGCTTATTCTCCCCTTCCCTGTCCTGCCTAGCTTACATGGTTCTCCACTGGTTAGAAGTAAGCATTAAGGGCGCTGTCCTCAGTTGCAAGCTGTGGTCACTGTCCGTCAGTATTCATACTTTGTTTTCATTGCTAATAATTTATTTTTTTAATTTTTTGTACTTTTTTTTTTTTTTTTTTGGAAGGAATCTTGCTCTGTCACCCAGGCTGGAGTGCAGTGGCGTGATCTTGGCTCACTGCAACCTCTGCCTCCCAGGTTCAAGCGATTCTCGTCTTAGCCTCCCGGGTAGGCTAATTTTTGTATTTTTAGTAGTAGGGTTTTACCATGTTGGTCAGGCTGGTCTCAAAATCCTGACCTCAAGTGATCCACCCGCCTTGTCCTCCCATAGTGCTGGGATTACTGGCATGAGCCACCATGACTGGCCTCATAGTTAATAATTTGATCCATGGAGAATGGTTTCTGTAATTCTCCTTTTTCTCTCTCTCTTTTATTTTTTAAATTCTCCTTTTTCTCTTTTTTTTGAGACAGAGTCTCACTATCGCCCAGGCTGGGGTACAGTGGGGCGATCTTGGCTTATTGCAACTTGTGCCTCCCAGGTTCAAGCAAGTCTCCTGCCTCAGCCTCCCAAGTAGCTGGGATTATAGATATGTGCCACTACACCTAGCTAATTTTTGTGTGTGGTTTTTTTTTTTTTAAGTAGAGACGGGATTTCACCACGTTGGCCAGGCTGATCTTAAACTCCTGACCTCAGGTGATCCGCCCTCCTTGGTCTCCCAAAGTGCTGGGATTACAGGCATGAACCACTGCATCCAGCCTAATTCTCAAGTACCTCTTACTTGTTTGTATAAAGTACTTTGCAGATAAAGAGCAATTACTGGCCTTCTGAACATAATCAATAGGTTTAGGAGGCAATCACAGAAATTCTTCAGGAGAATTCTGAGCGCTTTTCTGAGATTTAGAAAAGCGTTGTTCAGCAGAAAGAAGTGTCATGTGAGTTACTCACATAATTTAAAACTTTCTAGTTAGAACATTAAAGAAGAATAAAGAAAAACAAGTGAAATTCATTTTACTGGTAATACTTTAACTTACCTAAAATATTTCAAATGTAATCAATTTAAAAATTATTAAAGGGGTGGGTGCAGTGGTTTATGCCTGTAATCCCAGCACTTTGGGAGGCAGAGGTGGGCGAATCATGAGGTCAGGAGATTGAGACTATCTGGCCAACATGGTGAAACCCCATCTCTATTAAAAATAACAAAAATTAGCTAGGAGTGGTGGTGCACACCTGTAATCCCAGCTACTCGGGAGACTGAGGCAGGAGAATCGCTTGAACCTGGGAGGCGGAGATTGCAGTGAGCTGAGATCATGCCACTGCACTCTAGCCTGATGACAGAGCAAGACTCTGTTTCCCCAAAAAAAAAAAAAAATTAATGGATTAATTTGTCATACTTTTTTTGTACTAAGTCTTCAAAATCCATTGTGTATTGTACACTCATGAAACATCTGAATTTGGATCAGCCATGTTTCAAGTGCTACTTGTATCTATTTGTTATCCTGCTAGACTTTGTAAGCCTAGAATTTTTTTTGTGTTGATAATCTTCTCATTTAAATTTGTAGCCAATACAAATTTTCTTTTTAAAACTAGTACAAGGGTACTAGTATGTAGTATTTTTAGCTATAGCTACACTTATTTCAGAGATGGTCACTATTTCATATTACTTTCATTCATCTCATTTACGTATTTTAGATTTTTATTTGAAGAGTTCCCTTTTAAATCTCTGTTTCCCTGCCTTTTATTTTTTATTTTTTGAGACGGAGTCTCGCTCTGTCACCAGGCTGGAGTACAGTGGCGCAATCTTGGCTCACTGCACCCTCCACCTCCCGGATTCAAGCGATTCTCCTGCCTCAGCCTCCCAAGTAGCTGAGACTACAGGTGTGCGCCACCACGCCCAGCTAATTTTTGTATTTTTAGTAGAGATGGGGTTTCACCATGTTGGCCAGGATGCTCTCGATCTCTTGACCTTGTGATCTGTCTACCTCGGCCTCCCAAAGTGCTGGGATTACAGGCGTGAGCCGCACCTGGCCTTTTTTTTTGTTTTCCTTTTTTAAAAATTTACGAGACAGTCTCCCTCTGTCACCTTGGCTGGAGTGCAGAGGTATGTTCTTGGCCAGGTCATAGCTCACTGCAGCCTTAAACTTCTAGGCTCAAGCAATCACTTCAGCCCTCAAACAGCTAGGACTGCAGACACGCACCACTATACCTGGCTAGTTTCATTTTTTTGCAGAGATGGGTCCTTGTTCTGTTGCCAAAGCTGGTCTTGAACTCCTGGGCTCAAGCAATCCTCCTGCTTCAGCCTCCCAAGGTGGTGGGATTACAGGCTTGAGCCCTTGGGCTTAGCCTCTTTTTTGCTTTTATAACAAATCACAAATGACTAATAAATGTTAAAGAATACTTAAGAAATATTTTTTCCTGTTAGAATACATGTTAAAAATAGTTTTCCCTGTTAGAATACAGGAAAACGATTTTTACTAAAAAACAAATATTAAGGTAATGGATATGGATCTTTTTATTATTATTATTATTGTTTTTTACAGGTGTTGAAGAAGAAGAAAAGGTTGCAGAGATGCATAAAATGAAATCTACAACCCAGGCAAATCGAATGAGTGTAGATGCTGTAGAAATTGAAACACTCAGAAAAACAGTTGAGGACTATTTCTGCTTTTGTTATGGTAAAAACAATACTTAATTTTTCTAAAAGATACATTATATAATTGAGTTTTCTAAAGGGGAGATTAATTGATTTGAAAATTATATGACACACATTTTCACTGATTGAATGGATTAGCAATAAATAACCTTACTTTCTTTTTTTTGTTGTTTTTGTTTTTGTTTTGAGACGGAGTCTCACTCTGTCACCCAGGCTGGAGTGCAGTGGCATGATCTCGGCTCACTGCAAGCTTCACCTCCCGGATTCACACCATTCTCCTGCCTCAACCTTCCGAGTAGCTGGGACTATAGATGCCCACCACCACACCCGGCTAATTTTTTTTTTTTTTTTTTGTATTTTTAATAGAGACGGGGTTTCACTGTTTAATAGAGACGGGGTTTCTCCTGACCTCATGAGCCGCCTGCCTTGGCCTCCCAAAGTGCTGGGATTACAGGTGTGAGCCACTGTGCCTGGCCCTAGCCACCACGCCCGGCCGTAGCCACCGTGCCCAGCCCTGCAATAACCTTACTTTCTTCCACTTCCATTTTGAAGGAACCCAGAAAGAAATGTCACCAGTAGAGCTGTTTCTTTCTCTCTTTCTCTCTCTCTTTCTCTCTTTCTCTCTTTCTCTCTTTCTCTCTTTCTCTCTTTCTCTCTCTCTTTCTCTCTCTCTCTCTCTCTTTCTCTCTCTCTTTCTCTCTCTCTCTCTCTCTCTTTCTCTCTCTCTCTCTCTCTCTGTCTCTCTCTCTCTTTCTCTCTCTCTCTCTCTTTCTCTCTCTCTCTCTTTTCTTTTCTTTTCTTTTCTTTTCTTTCTAGATGGAGTCTCGCTCTGTCACCCAGGCTGGAGTGCAATGGCACAATCTTGGCTCACTGCAACCTCCGCCTCCCAGGTTCAAGTGATTCTCCTGCCTTAGCCCCCCCAAGTAACTGGGATTACAGGTGTCCGGCACCATGCCCGGCTAATTTTTGTATTAGATTTTAGTAGAGATGTGGTTTCACCATATTGGCCAGTCTGGTCTCGAACTCCTGACCTCAGGTGATCCGCCCACCTTGGCCTCCCAAAGTGCTGGGATTACAGGCATGAGCCACCATGCCCAGCCTAGCTGTTTCTTTCTAATATGCATGCTCATCTCTCCAATTCCCTGCAAAGCCACCTTTTGTTACTCTTGTCCTATCATAAAACGAAGCTCTTAACATGAAAACAGTCAAAGGAGGAGATTGAGGTTTTACTGTGGGGTCATAGGTGTAAATCAATTCTCTGGAATGGGATTTTCAGTATGTGTGAGGCTCGCTGCCCAATAGGTTGACAGTATATACTCATTTGTGAATGGGAAGCTTGTGTTTACCTGATAAGTTTTCAATGAGAATATTAGCTGAAATATTCCTGATATTTTATGGTAATGGTTGGATGTGCTGGACTTCTATATTCTGAGGCCAAATTGTACCTGAGAATATACCAGGATGGGACCATCTTCAAGAAAGGCAATAGTGCAAGAAACCAGCCATTGCTCTTTCTGTGTAGTTTTTAAAGTAAAATATTGTATCTACTTTTCATTTTGGCCCTTTGGATCAGTTTCAGGTTTAGACCTTCTGCTGATATGGGGAGCTAGAATGCTGTAGTATTAATTAATTTTGAAATCACATATTATAAGAAATCATGGATGTCCTTATTAAGCCACAATAAGCTAGCGATTTCGTTTTTTAATCTTACCATTGAATGATGTTCATCTGCTTTTCACCTCCCCCAGGGAAAGCTTTAGGCAAATCCACAGTGGTACCTGTACCATATGAGAAGATGCTACAAGACCAGTCAGCTTTGATAGGACGGGGCTTCCAGATGGTTTTGCCTTTAAACACCCTGAGAATTGTGATCTTGCAACCCTGAAATGGATTTTGGAGAACAAAGCAGGGATTTCATTCATCATTAAGAGGTGAAGTGCTTTCTCCCTTTGTAGCCATCAACAGTTGATTCATATAAATTTGAATATTCAGCTTATGTTAATAGAGTTTTAAAATTCATATTTAACACAGAAGTCATTTAAATGTATGTGCTACAATAATTTTGTGTATTCATATGGAGTTTTGTTTTGTTTTGTTTTGTTTTAATGCAGACCTTTCTTAGAGCCAAAGAAGCATCTCGGTAAGTAAGAGATTCACTTCCTTGATAGCTGGCTAGCCTCCGTTTTGCTAGATTTTAATACACTTCAATGGTTTCTGTTTTATTTTCTTTGAGAATATGATGTCAGACATTTTTGGATGGGCTGTTTAGATGTTTATATAATCCACGAAAGGTTCATTGAGCTAAAAAAGTGGAGACTTGTTTTTTTGTTTTCTTTTTTTTGAGATGGAGTCTCGCTCTATCGCCCAGGCTGGAGTGCAATGGCGCGATCTCGGCTCACTGCAACCTCCGCCTCCCAGGTTCAAGCAATTCTCTGCCTCAGCCTCCCGAGTAGCTGGGATTATAGGTGCTCGCCACCACACCCGGCTAATTTTTGTATTTTTAGTAGAGACGGGGTTTCACCATCTTGGCCAGGCTGGTTTTGAACTCCTGACCTCATGATCCACCTACCTCAGCCTCCCAAATTTCTGGGATTACAGGCGTGAGCCACCGCGCCCGGCTGTTTTTTTGTTTTCAGCTCCGCTGCTTGTTTTCTGTAGAAGATCATATGACTGCCCTCACTTAGCAGAATTATGAGTAGGATTTAATTGACCTAATGTCATTGACTAGGCAAGGCATTGTTGGGCACAGCATTGGGTGGGGAGGGGATATGCATCTGTGTATCAGCATTACAACTTTTTAGAGCTGAGAGTCTCACGAAGAGAGAAAAGTCTGTAAAGTGAACATGGCAGGAGCATCACATCCCTACTGCAAGAATGGTTCTGAGAAAGGGCTGTGGATATCATTGGAGGTTGGATACCTTTATAGTTCAGGGAAGAGTTCATGAGGAAGAGAGCATTTCTATGGGCCCTTGAGGAATGATGAGGATTTCAGCTTCCTTTAGGGAAGTCTAGCCATTTCATTTGAAGGGAAAACAGGATAAAGAGTGGTATCCTTTAGAGCCAGGTTTATTTGAGACTTTCGGAAGTAAATAACCAGTATCACTGGAATACTCTTAACCATGTAAGGATGAAAGGAAAAAATTATATATACATAAACATACACATTGTATTTTCTATTAACCTTTGTTTTATTCTCATTGTAGTGAAAAGATTAATTTTTAGCAGCTTTATTGAGGTATAATTGATACACCATAAAATTCACTTGTCTTATTTTATTATTATCTTTTTGAGACGGAGTCTTGCTCTGTCGCCAAGGCTGGAGTGCAGTGGTGTGATCTCAGCTCGCTGCAGCCTCCGCCTCCCAGGTTCAAGTGATTTTCCTGCCTCAGTCTCCAGAGTAGCTGGGATTACAGGTGTGCGCCACCACGCCTGACTGATTTTTTTTGTATTTTTAGTAGAGATTGGGGCTTCACCATGTTAGCCAGGATAATCTCAAACTCCTGACCTCAAATGATCCACCTGCCCCGGCCTCCCAAAGTGCTGGGATTACAGGCATGTGCCACTGCGCCCAGCCAAATTCACCTGTCTTAAGTATATAATTCACTAATAGTAGATTTACAGTCTTAAAATGTTTTTAAGGGTTTTTCATCCTTCATCACAGTCTAATTTTGGGATGTTTTCATCATCCCTCTGTTATTTCATGAATGTTGTAGAAATGGAATATGTAGTATGTATCCTATTGAAATGAGCTTTTTACACTGAGCATCATTCACTCGAGGCTCATTGAGCTTGATGGGTGTATCCGTAGTTTCTTTTTATTGCTGAGCACTAATTATTCTATGACAGGAACGTATACCGCCTGTTGATCCAATCATCAGTTTATAGATATTTTGGTTGTTTCTACCTTTGGGTATTGGGAATAATGTTACAGTGAACATACTTGAGCAAGTTTTTGTCTGGACATATTCCTTGATATCTCTTGGATTTACATAGGAGTGCAATTACTAGGAATAGGGCAAATTTACGCTGAACTTTTTTTTTTTTTTTTTTTAATGAGATGGAGTCTCGCTCTGTCACCAGGTTGGAGTGCAGTGGCACGATCTTGGCGGCTCACTGCAACCTCCGCCTCCTGGGTTCAAGAGATTCACCTGCCTCAGCCTCCCAAGTAGCTGGGATTACAGACACGCGCCACCATGCCCGGCTAATTTTTGTATTTTTAGTAGAGATAGGGTTTCACTATGTTGGCCAGGATAGTCTCAATCTCTTGACTTCATGATCAAGGGAGGCCTCCCAGAGTGCTGAGATTACAGGCGTGAGCCATCGCACCCTGCTACACTGAACTTTGAAGAAACTGACAAGCTGTTTTCCAAGGTGGCTATACCATGTTATACTCTAGCAGCAGGGTAGGAGGGTTACCCCCACATTTCTGCCAACTTACTTGATTTTAGCCATTGTAATAGGTATGATGTGGTATCTCATTTTTGTTTGACTTTTTAAAATTTCTCTAGTGATTGTTGGTGTTGTGTTATCTTTTACCTTCTTTTTTGAGACAGGGTCTCACTCTGTTGCCCAGGCTAGAGTGTAGTGGTGCCATCTCAGCTCAGTGCAGCCTCAACCTCCCAGGCTCAAGCAATCCTGCTGCCTCAGCTTCTCAGTAGCTAGGACTACAGGCGTGCACCACCATACCCAGCTCATTTCTGAACCTTTTTTGGTAGAGAAAAGCTTTTGCGTGTTGGCCAGGCTGGTCTGGAACTCCTGAGCCCAAGTGATCCACCTGCGTCGGCCTCCCAAAGTGCTGGGATTACAGGCTTGAGCCACCATGCCTGGCTGAAATATTGAGTTATTAAAACTGATGTATATAAGGGTTTTTCAATGTGAGTCAGAAGAGTGTTTTACATGGTCTCGATATAAGTCCCTAATTGATGATTTGTTAAATTTTTTTTTTTTTTCTTTTTGCGATGGTGTCACTCTGTTATCCAGGCTAGAGTACAGGATTTGGGAATATTTTCTCCAATTCTAATAAATCTACATTATTCTTACTGTATAACTTGTCTTTTTCACCTGCTTGGTAGTATCTTTTGAGGCAGAAACGTTTTAAATTTTGATAAAAACCAGTTTATTCTTTTGTCACTTATGCTTTTTTGTTGTTGTTGTTGTTGTTGTTTTTGAGACAGAGTCTCACTGTGTCACCTAGGCTGGAGTGCAGTGGCGTGATCTCAGCTCACTGCAACCTCCATCTCCTGGGTTCAAGCAATTCTCCGGTCTCAGCCTCCTGAGTAGCTGGGACTACAGGTGCCCACCACCATGCCCGGATAGCTTTTGTATTTTTAGTGGAGATGAGGTGTCACCATATTGGTCAGGCTGTTCTCAAACTCCAGACCTCAGGTGATCTGCCCACCTCGGTCTCCCAAAGTGCTGGGATTGCAGGCATGAGCCACTGCGCCCGGCCCTCACTTATGCTTTTGACTTCATGTTTAAGAAACCATTGCATAACCCAAAGGCATGAAGATTTGACTTCTATGTTTTCTTCCGCAAGTCTTACAGCTTTGGCTCTTATATTTAGATCTATGGTTCACTTTGACGTCATTTTTGTATATTGCACAAGGTAAGGGTGTAAATTCATCTTTTTGCACGTGGATATCCTTTGATTCCAGGACAATTTGCTGAAAAGACCGTCCTTTCCCTCGGGATATCCTTGTCATCTTTGTTGAAAGTCATTTGACCCTATGTTTATTTCTGGACTTTCTATGCAGGAGATCAAGTTGTGTGAGAATCAAGACAATTTACCACTTCCTTTGCAATCTAAGTGCCTCTTATTTCTTATTCTTGTTGCTCTGGCTAGAATATAAATGTCAAACAGCATTGGTAATAGCAGACATCATCTTGTGATATTAGTAGGAAAGGATTTTGACCATGAGCTATGATGTTAGTGGTAGGATTTTTGTGTAAATCTCTTTTAAGAAGGAGAAATATTTGTCATGTTTATGTTAAATTTTAGACTTAAAAGTTTTTTTATTATTTTTATTTATGTGTTTATTTATTTTGAGATGGAGTCTTGCTCTGTCGCCCAGGCTGGAGTTCAGTGGCGCATTCTTGGCTCACTACAACCTCCGCCTCCCGGGTTCAAGCAAATCTCCTGCCTCTGCCTTCCGAGTAACTGGGATTACAGGCACCTGCCACTACACCCAGCTAATTTTTATATTTTTTAGTAGAGATGGGGTTTTACCATGTTGGCCAGGCTGCTTTCGAACTCCTGACCTGAAGCAATTTACCCATCTCAGCCTCCCAAAGTGCTGGGATTACAGGTGTGAGCCACCGCGCCCAGCCTAATCTCAGCACTTTGGGAGACCACAGTGGGAGTCTCCCTTGTGTCCAGGAGTTCAAGACCAGCCTGGGCAACATAGCAAGATCTAATTTCTACAAAAAATAGAAAACAATTAGCTGGGAGTGGTAATGCATGCTCCTGTAGTCCCAGCTGTTCAGGAGGCTGAGGTAGGAGGATTGTTTGATCCTCGGGAGTTGGAGGCTGCAGTGAGCTATGATCATGCCACTGCACACCAGCCTGGGCAACAGGGTAAAACTCTGTTTCTAAAAAAAGAAAAAAAAAAAAGAAAAAGAAAAATGTGTATCACCATTTATACATCAGCAGAGTCATATTCTCCATATTCCATCTTACTAGACAAATGGTATGTGTCTGCATTTCTCTCACTGATGAAAATAGAGCTTTTTCATTCAAGGAGGGTGTGGTTGGGTGAAGGGATGAAAAGCAATGTTTGTTCTGGTGTGATCCAGAGCTGCAAAGCCTAGTTCTACCCCATTCATTCTATATTTAAAGGCTTTAGAAGTATTATATTTGAAATGTTGCAAAACTAACGCGAGTTTTTTTTTGTACGTAGGTGGTCGTGTGATGGTAACAGATGCTGACAGGTCGATACTATCTCCAGGTGGAAGGTAAAACCTAATTTCATTACTGCTGTTTAACTCCCACATCTCAAAAAGTTTTAGTTGTTAGATAATTGAAATATTAGAATATTAAAAAGGCCTTATGTCACACATCTTAAAGTTTAATAGGTAAGGATATCATTTGGAGATCTTGTGAACATGCCCTCTTTGACTTGGTATTTCTGAATAGTAGAGTTCCTGGGAAAAGCCAGCGGCATTGGTCACACTGTGAATTGGCCTTAGAGTGGTATTTGGAAGTTAATATGCTGTTCTGTAGTATTGTATTGTACTGTTTTCCCCAAAAGATAGATAGAAATTAAAGTACTAAGTTCAGTTGATAGCTCTTTTTTTTTTTGAGATGGAGTTTTGTTCTTTTTGCCCAGGCTAGAGTGAAGTGGCGTGATCTCAGCTCACTGCCACCTCCACTCCCCCCTCCCCTGGGTTCAAGTGATTCTCCTGCCTCAGCCTCCCAAATAGCAGGGACTACAGGCATGTGCCACCACACCCGGCTAATTTTTTTCTATTTTTAGTAGAGACGAGGTTTCACCATGTTGGCCAGGCTGGTCTTGAACTCCTAACCTCAGGTGATCCACCCGCTTCCACCTCCCAAAGTGCTGGGATTACAGGCGTGAGCCACCGCGCCTGGCCCTATAACTCTTAATATGCTACTCTGTAGTATTTTATAGTACTTTTTTCCCCAAAAGATAGATAGAAATTGAAGTCCTAAGTTCAGTTGATAACTTTTTTTTTGGAAACAGAGTCTCCCTCTGTCACTCAGGCTGGAGTGCAGTGGCATGATCTCAGCTCACTGCAAGCTCCGCCTCCTGGGTTCAAGCGATTCTTCTGCCTCAGCCTCCTGAGTAGCTGGGACTATAGGCAAGCGCCACCATACCCGGCTAATTTTTGTATTTTTAGTAGAGACGGGGTTTCACCATATTGGCCAGGCTGGTCTTGAACTCCTGACCTTGTGATCCACCTGCCTCGGCCTCCCAATGTGTTGGGATTGCAGGCGTAAGCCACTGCGTCCGGCCCAATAACTCTTATTTATGCAAGAAATAAATATGCCAGTTTTAAGCTGAGTCAGGTTGGCACCTGCCTTGGTCAAGGGAGGGATCTTACACTTTGAGACCCAGAGACTTTGAATGTTGTGGGAGTGACTGTCACCAGCACATGGCTTGATCAGGGCTTTCTTCTCCTTGCAGTTGTGGTCCCATCAAAGTGAAAACTGAACCCACAGAAGATTCTGGTACGTACTAGTGCTTTTAGGGTCAATGGTGAAATTAAGGAAGACTTTCCCTTAGTGTAGAAGGTTATAGTTTGACTCAATTATTGCTTTGTTTTGATAAGAAAGAGGCAGTCACTACTAATGTATTCCAACTGTGACACTATTTGTTAATGTTATCACATTAAGACCCAGAAAGGTAATTTGCTCAGTAAGTGGTAGGCAGAGTTCTTTGCCAGTTACACATGTTTGTAGATAAAATGTATTGTCTTCTTTTCCAGTTATACAGACATATAATGTAAGAGGTCGGCTGTTCTGTAGTGCTTTTTACAAAAATCAATAGAATGCCACCTTCGTCTCCTCCTTCCCTCTGCACTCCCGTTTTCCACTCTCCAAGGAGACCATTTTCAATTCTCAAATAAAAGTGCTATTTAATTCCTTATTTATTTGTTTATTTATTTTTTGAGACGGGATCTTGCTTTGTCACCCATGCTGGAGTGCAGTCTTGCAACTTCAGCTCACTGCAACCTCTGCCTGTGGGTTCAAGCAATTCTCCCACCTCAGCCTCCCGAGTAGCTGGGATTACAGGCATGCACCATCACGCCCGGCTAATTTTTATATTTTTAGTACGACGGGGTTTTGCCAGGTTGGCCAGACTGGTCTTGAACTCCTGACCTCAAGTGATCCACCCGCCTCAGCCTCCCAAAGTCCTGGGATTACAGGCGTGAGCCAGTGCGCCCGATCCCCTGTTTATAATTCGGTTCTGTCCTAGAACAATGGCACCCAGATGTTCTCAGCATATTTATTTATTTCATCATTTCCCCAGTGTTACTCTGTATCCCAGTGCCACTGTCAAGCCTCCCGCTGCTCGGCCCTGTGCCCCTTATTCACACGAGACGCTCCTTAGTGGGCTGTCACCACCCTGCTGGCCCCCTCATCTCCCTCTGTCTGCCCAGGCCCTCGGCAGCTTCCCCAGCCCCTTTCCCGGCCCTTCGTCAGCCTTCTCATTCTGCCATGCTTTCTGGGCAGCCACCTACCCCGCTTGACCCCGTCTGAGGGCATCTCGAATGAGTTGTTGGGGAGGCGGCAAGGGGGTGTTAACATGTGTGCGTGCATGTGAATGAGAGCTTTTATGTGTGTAAGTGTATTTTGGGAGAGCTGCAAGAAGAGTGTTGAATTATCCTTTTTTGGAAAAGGTATTTGAGTCTTTTACACTGTTTGCCGGTTTTACAGAAGGTTTTTCTTTTTTCTTTATTTTCACTCCATAGGAAATCTCACATTTTTGTGTAGTTTTTAGTAGATTGTGCCAAAAAAAAATCATCATTTTGCAAATTTTTCCCCTTAATTCATGTATTCATCTCCTGAATATTTAGTTTGCTTCCAAAAAGAAACATGCTGAATTGGGAAACCCCATGTATTTAATCGAATTCTTTCAACTGTCTTTATGTACGCATCAGCATCATTATAGGTTTCTGTTTTCTCTTTTACACTTTGCATCTTTATATTCTTAATTTATCCTGCAAATAAGATTTTATTTACATTTATAGCCAGGGTGCAGTCAGGAGACAGAAACCATATCAGTTATTGGAACAGAGAAAATTTAACATAAAGATTGTTGGCCGGGTGCGGTGGCTCACGCCTGTAATCCCAGCACTTTGGGAGGCTGAGGTGAGTGGATCACCTGAGGTCAGGAGTTCGAGACTGGCCTGGCCAACATGGGGAAACCCAGTCTCTGCTAAAAATGCAAAAAAATTAGCTAGGCATGGTGGTGGGCGCCTGTAATCCCAGCTACTCAAGAGGCTGAGGGAGGAGAATTGCTTGAACCCAGGAGGTGGAGGTTGCATTAAGTCAAGATCGTACCATTGCACTCCAGCCTGGGCAACAAGAGTGAAACTCCGTCTCAACAAAAAAAAAGATTGTTAACTAGTTATAAAGTTGTTTAACTTTGTAACCTAAAGGAGAATACTAAGGTTTTCTTTAAGGAACAATTCTAGGCAGTGACTGCCACCCCGTCAGCTTTCCATCTGACTTCTGAGGTGGGGTAGTGTTTGGCTGGTGCTGGTGGCTGACAGGCATGGCGAGGCTGCTTCTGGTAGTGTCAGAGACATTGCCAACCAGGCCCAGCTGTTGTGATGGGAGGGCCTGCTTTGGCCAGGCTGATTGAGGATACTGAGGAGTCACCTTTTTGGGATGAGAATGCAGACAAGAAGCCAAAAGGAAGGCCCAGATCCCTTCCCCTCCTCTAGCCTGTCTCTCTGTAGTGTATCCTTGTGGCAGAGACTCACACAAAGCCAGTTGCTGTGCAGAGCGCAAGCTGCAACAGAAACCCAGAGGATGGGTTTGCAACTGAGAGACATCAGCTTTGCGGCTGGCCCAGGCTGTTCTCTTTGGCTACTCAGCATATATACACACCCTTCCCTGCACATTTGACCTTCTATACAACAACGAGACAACTCTTCCATCTAAAGAGATGTAACTTGACTTCCTACAAAGAAATCCATTTTTACCCTCTCCTCAAAATGGGGAGACACAGTGTTCCAGCAGTCACACCCATCGCTGGGAGACTGACTTAAAAGTCGCGAGCTACATTACCTGCTCTTTAAATGCAGCCCAAACCTAATTGAGTAATCTCTAGTCTAATGGACAAATGGAAAGGAAACCTCCAACCAAACTATTGTGAAATACTACTGCACAGAAGAGAATAGTTAGTATATGTAAACGCATAATCTTTACACAAACACATTTGTAACAGACAAGGAAGAGAGTAGGCATAGTGGCCACAGTCTACGCTTCTGCAGCTTACCAGACTTTTTTTTGGATTTACCTTTTTACTTTATTTATTTATATTTTTTGAGACAAAGTCTCACTCTGTCGTCTAGCCTGGAGCGCAGTCGTGCGATCTCGGCTCACCGCAACCTCCGCGGCTCAGGTTCAAGTGATCCTCCCACCTCAGCCTCCCGAGTAGCTGGGATTACAGGCGTGTGCCATCCAGCCAATTTTTTGTATTATTTATTTATTTATTTTAGTAGAGACGGGGTTTAACTGTGTTGGCCAGACTGGTCTTGAACTCCTGACCTCAGGTAATCCATCCGCCTCAGCCTCCCAAAGTGCTGGGATTACAGGCGTGAGCCACTGCACCCAGCCAGTATGTGTGGGGTTCTGTAGCCGATTGGAGTGACCCAAATTTTTATCCCTGAAGGGTCTGAATCCCCAGTGGATCTGCCTTGTTTGTTAGCTGTAATGCTGTAATTTATTGCCTTCCTGCCTGCCTGCCTGCCTGCCTGCCTTCCTTCCTTCCTTCCTTCCTTCCTTCCTTCTTTCCTTCTTTCCTCCCTCCCTCCCTCCCTCCCTCGTCTTGCTGTACCACCCAGGCTGGAGTGTAGTGGCGCCATCTCTGCTCACTGCAACCTCCGCCTCTTGGGTTCAGGCGATTTTTATGCCTCAGCCTCTCGAGTAGCTGGGACTACAGTTGCGTGCCACCACTCCCGGCTAGTTTTCGTATTTTTAGTAGGGATGAGGTTTCACCATGTTGTCCAGGCTGGTCTCGAACTCCTGACCTCAGGTGATTCGCCCACCTGGACCTCCCAAAGTGCTGTGATTACAGGCATGAGCCACCGTGCCTGGTTGTTAGCTGTAATTTTCTATTCGCTTTTACTGATGGACATGAAAGTGCTAAGTTAGCCCAGAGAATCGCAGAGGTCTCAGATGCAGTGTTCTCTGCCACCACTGTGTAGCAGCAAAACACTTTCCCCTTGGTGATCGAAGGCAGTGGAGTATCTCCTTTGTTTGCTTGTTGCTTCAGGGATGCATACCCTTTGTGTATCAATTTAACTCTCTTTGAGCTCTTTCTCTAGAGTTGAAAATATTCTTTACAAAGTTGCCCAAGTCAGAGCTCACGATTTCGTTCGTGTTAGGGTTGGTATGACTGTGGTTGAATATTTCAGCCTGAAACGTGTATGTGCACCTATGCATTGTTCATTTCTTTTTCTTTCCTTTTTTTTTTTTTTTTTTTTTTGAGACAGAGTCTCGCCATGTCACCCAGGCCTCGGCCCTTCCCAAAGTCAGCTTTTTAATAACATCGATTGCTTTTGCCTGTTTTGACCTTCCTACGAGTGGAATTTACACAACACATACTCTTTTGTATCTGGCCACAAAGGTCTGCTTCGAATCATCTGTCCTAATTGTGGACAAAGCCTTGTGCAGAAAGGTGTGCTTTGTACCCTGGCACAAATCCTTGTAATAAAAGGGATTTATTAGGTGAAAAAAAATCAATGTATCTCGTTATTGAAATTGTTAACCATGATGCTGTCTCTCCTTTGGAATACTGAGTTATTAAAGCTGATGTTTATAAGTGTATTTCAATGGTTTATAAAAGTATTTTTAACATTAAGTGAAAAGGGAGTGTGGCAAAATTTTCTTTGATTCTAAAGATAAGAATTTGCTGGAGAAAAGAGCAGCAAATAATTGCAGAATATTAATGAATGGTTAAAATTTTGCACTGACTGGGATTATAGGTGATTTTTACCTTCTGCTACCTACTTTTGTCTTTTCAAAGACCTAAAGTCTTTATTTAAAGTAAATACGCATTGCTGTATTTATAGGGAGCATGGAGAGGAGTTCCCTACACAATCTAGCTGAAAGTTCTGACATGCAATCATATCATTGCATTTGCTTTTCTAGGCATTTCCCTGGAAATGGCAGCTGTGACGGTAAAGGAAGAATCAGAAGATCCTGATTATTATCAATATAACATTCAAGGTAACTCGAGTTAATGCAGTTTTTCATTCTAAAAATTATTCGTGGTTAAAATTAAAATTTGCTCATCAATTGCTTTAATTTCTTAAATAGAATTTTATTGATCAGTTCTTGATTAACATATATATTTATAATTCAGTCACTGGGATAAAACATTTTAAAAATGGGGCTATAAGATCAACTCAGACAATCCATAGGGGATATGTAAAATAGCCATTCATGTTCTTAAAAAGGATGAGCAAAAGTTGTGGCACAATTTAGAATTCAATCCCAGTCTCTAGTGTTGCAAAATAAACCTATTAGGCAAATGCAGATATATCGTCAGCTTAATTTTTTCTCACTGCGTAATTATAGTATATTAAATACTTAAAAAAACCTGGTTAGCTTTGCCATGTACATACCTAATACATCATCTTCACTGCATCCAAGATAATGAAATATCTATAACCCCAAAAGTTTCCTGTGTCCCCTTGTCATTCATTGCCCTGCCCAGTATTCAGGCAACACGGATCTGTTTTCTGTTTTAGGTTAGTTTGCATTTTCTATAAAGTCTTATGAATGAAATAATAAAATGTGGACTATTTTCATGGGGCGGGGAGCAGTGTGGCTTCTTTGATTTCACATGATTGTTTTGAAATTCAAATTCATCCACAGCATTGCATGTATTGGTAGTAGATTCCATTTGATTGTTAATTTGTGTTCTTTTGTATGCCTGGGTCAAAATTTGTTCATCTCTTTGTCTGTTGATAGCCATTTGGGTTCTTCCAGTTTGGGGCCATTACAAATAGAGGTACTGTGAACATTTGTGTACAAGCTTTTGTGTGGACATAGGCCTTCATTTCTCTTTTTTTTGTTTGTTTTTTGTTTTTTGAGACAGAGTCGCACTCTGTTGCCCAGGCTAGAGTGCAGTGGCGCGATCTTGGCTCACTGCAACCTCTGCCTCCCGGGTTGAGGTGATTCTGTTGCCTCAGCCTCCCAAATAGTTGGGATTAAGATGTGTGCCGACACACCTGGCTAATTTTTGTGTTTTTTAGTAGAGATGGGGTTTCACCATCTTGGCCAGGCTGGTCTCGAGCTCCTGACCTCAGGTGATCCACCTGCCTGGGCCTCCAAAAGTACTGGGATTACAGGCGCTAACATGCTTTTTTAAAATGAAATATTTAGAACCTAAAAGTATAGTATCAATCTGCCCAGGTTTAGGGAACCATAGTATTCGTCTCTTCTCTCCTCCCTCCAAGAAGTAACGTGTAACTATTTCATTGAAGCCCTTCTTGGGGCTCTCCCAAATTCCCACTTCTCTCTCTCTTCTTCTTAAGTTGACCATGATCTTGAAAACTGAGAATTGTCCTTCCTGATGGTGATGTTGTGGTTTACTACGTAAATATTCTTGCAGGACTGTGTGTGTGTGTGTGTGTGTGTGTGTGTGTGTGTGTGTGTGTGTGTGGTGTGTGTGTCGTGTGTGTGTGTGTGTGTCATGTCCATGCTTGTGTTATTCTTTGCAGGACTGTGTGTGTGGTGTGTGTGTGTGTGGTGGTGTGTGTGTGTGTCGTGTGTGTGTGTGTGTGTCATGTCCATGCTTGTTGTTTTATTCTTGCAGGACTGTGTGTGTGTGTGTGTGTGTCGTGTGTGTGTGTGTGTGTCATGTCCATGCTTGTTGTTTTATGTATGCCACTTCCTGAGTTAAGCTTACACAGTGGTACACTGTATATGTTGTTGAGTATAGTCTGTCACTCAATTTAAGTTTTCAAGATTTATCTTTTTTTTCTTGGGGGTGGGGGATGGATTTTTGCTCTGTCGCCCAGGCTGGAGTGCAGTGGCGCAATCTTAGCTCACTGCAACCTCTGCTTGCCAGGTTCAAGCAATTCTCTGCCTCAGCTGGGATTTATCTATTTTGTCACAACTAGATTTAATCATGTCATCATGGTAGTTACACTGTGTGATTATAATACAGTTCATTTCTTCGTTCTTTTACATAAGGACATTGATGTTTTCTTCTAAAATCTTTTGTATTCCAAAATAGGCTTGGATATATTTCTCTGTGCACCTCAGTTCTCCTGTAAAATAGTGGCATTCAAATGTGAGTGTTGGGAATGTGTTGGTTTTCTCAATGAGTGGTAGGTACCTCAAGCATTTGAGAGGTGGAGGTTAAGTATGTTTTAGGGTGAATAAAATCAAGTACCATTTTTAGGGTGAATAAAATTCACATACGTGACATTAAAATAATTTGGAAGTATAGTGATACATGAAGGTAGGCTGTGTAAATATCAACTAAAAAATATATAGTTTAGCAATATTGGAGGCCAAAAACAGTAGTAGCAGGGGTAGAATAAGACTATGTAATATTTAAAGGAATCAGTCACTAAGTTGATACAACAACCATTAGTTTGTATGTGCCTAACAATGTATCCTCAAAGTAAAAGTAAAAATGATTTACAAGTTATAAGTCTCTATAGATATGTACAGTCATGTGGGAGATTTTAACCAATGATATATGTCTAACTGATGAATACTTTTATAACATTTATATGTTACATAGACTATTTTAACTATAGTTAATATATTTAAGCTAACTAAAGAAAACTGTGTACCCATGAAATAAGTTTATTTACAAAGCATGAATCATTTATAAAAATTGACTGTATACTTGTTCACAGGTAGTCTTAATAAATTCTCTGAACATACTGAAATTAAATTGTTAATAGAAAACATAATACAGTGGGAATCCTAGGAAACATGCTTATAATTGACTTAATGAGGGCCTCATTAAAAATATTTAGACCAGAATATCGAGAATGCCACATAAGCTTGTGAAGAGCAGCTAAAGCAGTACTTAGAGGTCAATTAGTAGCCTTCACTAACATTGCATTTTTAAATCCTGTAAATAGCACATCTTCCTTTTCACAAGTTCTGTATGTTTTACTCAGAGTCAGAAGACTAGGAAGCAGTGGATCTAGCATTTGAATTTAGGAGTCTACATTCAAAGACTTTCTCTCCTTTGAGATTCTAAATAGAAACGATTTCTTTATTTCTCATGCAATTGATTTTTTTCTCTGATGTGTCCTTTGCCTGTAATGTGTAGTGTGGTGCATCTTTGTGAAATTTCTTAGGCTTTAATGAATGAAGCGTTTCAAACGACTTAGGATGTTTTCTCAGTTCTCTTCAGAGATAGTTAACTGATTTGTGGTCTTATTAATGCCAAAATGTGTTTTATGTTAAATAGCCATTGAAAACACAATGTTTTGTTTTCTACTTTAAAACTATTACTACTTTAATCATTAAAAAGTTTGATGATAACATGTAAATGTGTTGTCAAAATATAGCAGTTTGTGAAGTTAAATTTAACTCAGAGTACGTTCTGTGTTTTGGAAAGAACCTTATTAGAAAAAATGCCCGTGGTGCTGGAAGAAAGGGAGAATGAATTAATAGCTGTTAGTTTGTCACATTTCTATTTGAGTAGAGGTGCAAGGAGATGGTTTACGTTATTTTAGAGATTCTAAGGAAGGTATATAACATTTGGTTCTGCATTTTTCTTCAGTATGACAAAAGCGTAAGCAAATTTTTGCCAAAGAAGAAACATATACACCTGTGAGATAAACCTGCATTTGTAATCTGTATGAAGTAAAAGTTACAGTTTACTGTTATAAACATTGTACTGTTTTAAAAAACCCATATCTTCCATTTTAGACATACCATTCCCATTCAATCCATATGTCCAGTCATCTTCAAAATTTCTTTTGACTGTTTACATATGAATTTACCTGATTACATTTTTCCATTCACCAAGATCATGAATTGACATTGCTCATTTTGTCAGTCTTTTTAAAAAATTTTTTTTCTTTTTTATTTATAAAAAGGCCATTCCATGTATCTCACCCAAATTTGTTGACTAAAGTCATCCCACATTTTTTGGGGGGAGGCGGGGGATTACTTTTGAAGTATTATCTTTGTATCCCAAAGCAGGCCCTTCTGAAACCGATGATGTTGATGAAAAACAGCCCTTATCGAAGCCTTTGCAAGGTATAATCTTTTCACTCCCGTTCTCCCACATACTGCTCATATTTAATGTTTCCTTATATTGCACAGACTGTGTTTTAATATTTATAAGTATCGTGTTACTTTTCTAAATGGAAAAGGAAAAAAAAATGTATTGGCCTTTTTTTTTTAACATATAAATGAACTTCACAAGCAACAATTTTTCAAAATCAATTTTCCCTTTTGTGAATCTAGTAATGAATCTCGAAATGGGTACATGACACACTTTCCTATTGAAGGTAAAGTACACATTTATACCTTATCTCAGAACAGTCAGAAGCCAGGTTACTGTTGTATTGGTTAGCGATGCGAATATTGATAAGGTCATGTTGATACTTAGTATTTAGAAGAATTCTGAAATAGCACTTGTTAATCTGTAAGTTTCAAGTTGATTGCCTTTCTGGCAATTTTTTTAGTGTTCCCAAACTTGATACTCACAGGCTATTAGTAATGGCGTTTACTTCTATCTATTCTGGCTTTGAGTGCATAAGATGTGTTAGGTTTAGGCTTAGCATATAAATGTAATTGTTTATTTCGGATTTTAAAAGACATATAGAATTATTGCTTACACGAACAATCATCTTAACTGTTATTCTTTGCTGAAATTTTCCTTTTTACCTACTGACCTCGTCGTTTTGCTGTCATTCCTTTGACCTCCCATCTCTTTTTTCTTTGACTTTTACAGTCAAAGAACTTAATGCTCCATAAATTCAAATATTAAGATTAAAAAAAGAGGCCGGGCGCGGTGGCTCAAGCCTGTAATCCCAGCACTTTGGGAGGCTGAGACGGGCGGATCACGAGGTCAGGAAATCGAGAACATCCTGGCTAACACGGTGAAACCCCGTCTCTACTGAAAAATACAAAAAATAAAACCTAGCCGGGCGAGGTGGCGGGCGCCTGTAGTCCCAGCTACTCGGGAGGCTGAGGCAGGAGAATGGCGTAAACCCGGGAGGCGGAGCTTGCAGTGAGCTGAGATCCGGCCACTGCACTCCAGCCTGGGCGACAAAGCGAGACTCTGTCTCAAAAAAAAAAAGATTAAAGAAAGAGAAAGGAAGTGTGTAGAGAAAGCATATTTTAAAAATGAATTAAAGATTGACTCGTAGGTATAGGTTTTTAGATTTACTTACAGTTTTGAGTTCAGGTGAGTTTTCACAATATAAAGGAAGTGGAAAAGAATCCCCAGATAATTGTGACATGCTAAAGCTAGATACTGAGAACCAAAAAGATGTGACCTCAGTATGGTACTTTGAATTCAAGGATATTAGCCACCAAATGACAGTTTTTCAGACTGTAAGCATTGCTCTTTAAAAATCAAGATAAAATACGTTTATAACTTAGATCTTACTTTTAGTATAGCTTCTGAACTTAGTTCTCAATAGATAAGACAAAATAGATGAGCATCTGCTTCCTTTCCCCTCAAGCGATGTATTCTTAATGATAGGTAATATGTTTGTATTGGTACTTAAAGGCAATGTTTTTCCATCTTTTCCATGTTAGTAGCTCAGATCTTTAAGGACAGAGGATACCAATTAGGGGGCAGCTTGCGTTCTTAATCCTAAGTGGCTCTCTGATGTCTTAGATGCTTTCTTTCCTTTTCGTGAGTAAAACTTCTGCTCTAGTAGGATGAGCCTGTTTACCTTGTGACTGCCTAACTGATCGTGCTTTATGTTCCAGTTTTTAGAAGCAGGCAGATTATATTACCTGACTTAAAATGCTTTTGAGACTAAAGGTAGTATCTTAAATTTTAACTTACGAGTTTCCTTTAAGTACAACTTTGATGAAATGACGGGGATTGAGTTTCCATGGCTTTCGCCCTAGTGAAAATGGAAAGCATGAAACGTTTTCCACAGCAAACCCTGAGCTTCCTTACAGAGAGTTAATTAAGTGTCTGAGCACAGCAAGCATTTACTCTGATCCGTGTGTGTATGTGTGTCACTGACAGATGAGCATGGTACTTGAAGCATAATTCTACTTCCTCAGATTCCAATATCTAGTAGTTTTATCATGTAGTTATAGTAACTAATATTAAATCCCCAAACCTACTTAGGTCTGCTCTGTATTTGTGTTTTAAAACAGTTCTTTTAGCTTCCAAATAGAAGCGTTGTATTCTTTTCTGAATTAGAAAACATTGTTTGACTTAATGGCTAAAGAGTTAGACAATCATTTTGCATATGTTTATTACGTCTTACATTGTTTGCGTTGTTACCTAGATTCTCTTTCGTCTTTCAGTGTCAGTTTTTATTGGTTTATTATATGTTGTTTATTTTCTTTTTAGGAAGCCATCATTCTTCAGAGGGCAATGAAGGCACAGAAATGGAAGTCCCAGCAGAAGGTTAGGAGAAAAAGAGATTGCATATTTTACACTATTTGTTGTATGTTTATTCTATTTTATAGATTCTATTATCCTTAAAACACCTCATTTGGAAATAAAAGGTGATTCCTTTGGTATGCCTTCCTAGCCAACAGGTTATTTTTTTTTTTTTTAAGTTCTAAGATGTAATATGCTTCTTTGACCATACTGATTAATAAAGCCTATGGGATTGAAAACTAAGTGGTAAGTAAAGCTCTTACATGATGCAAAATGCTACTTTTTTTTTTGTCCTGGTTTTCTTGTGCCATATTAAAGATCTTTTAAGGAAGAATAGCTTCAGTGTTTCAGAATTAAAATGACTAGCTCCATTTGTATTTTATTTTCAAATGTGCTTTTTAATACTTCTAGTCTTTCAGTAGGTTAAGAATATAGTCTACATAAAATTTATAAAGGAGAGAGTTTCTCCCTTTGTTTTATACCCACAACTACTCCATAAATGACTGTCAGTTTACCAGCTCTACACCTTTGGTTTTAGGATGGAACACCTGACTGAGGTACAGTTCTTTTTCTTTAGAATCCTGAGTTAAACTTATCATGCAGGGTGACTTCTTACTTCCAAGGGGTTTAAACGGTTCCACACAAGTTTTTGTAGATTTCCCCCAAGGAAAATGACTGGTAAGGTAACCGAATCTTGTTTTAGGATTATTTCTCTCATAAATCGGTCACGTTATACCTTATTTTTCTAGGATGAAGAGAGGGGTCTACTGTGTAACTGCTTATATTCCATTGTATTTACATTTGTATTTTAATTAAAATAAATCATTTGTTTGATCTTTTACCTTCTTTGAGGGAAAAGACAATCTTAAAAGTCCCCCAGTAGAGGCTGGTTTCTCCAAATTCAGTTACAGAATTAGGGTTTCTCCCTGGAATACATTTCTCTCAGAAATACTGATATGCTCATTTTAAACCGTTGGTTACATTTCCCTGTCAGCTCTTTTTATAGAAGATTGTGTGGGTGAATGTTGTATGCTTTACCGTGTAGAGGTGGGTATTTTCTCTGTGACAGAGTTTTCAGTTTTGAATAGGCAGGATTTAGAACAACAAGACCTGGGTAATAGATCACAACTTTGCAGTACGAGGGCTCACCGCCTTGCAGCCCCGTCGGCAGGTACTGCATCTTGAAGACTGCGTTTTTAGGACATTTTTACTGTCATCTTCCAGTGTTAACAAAGTGGAATCGAATCTGGGTTCTGGCCTTTATTCCTCTACTAACAAGTAAACATAATCTTTGGCAAATCAATTAATCTCTCAACCTTTGCACAATGAAAGAGAACTAATGAAAATACTCTCTAAGCTTCTAGCACTAACATTCTGATGTACGTTTGTCTTGTGTAGGAACAAATATGAATGAACTTTTTAATTTTTGAAATACGTTGCATACAAAGCCAGAGGATATAGTCCTGTGTGCACTTGTGACACTCAGTCTCTTGATAGGAAAGTCTCCATTGCAAAGCCTGGGTTGTGGTTTTATTGAACAGTAGAAACCACTCCTCACATTTCTGAAAGGAGAGGAGAAATTCTAACCCAAGTAGAAAGCATTTGTTTCTATCCGAGCATCTTCTAGCTGTGGCAGGAAATTCATTGTGACTTTGTCAGATCCTCATTCCTCCAAGACTATGGGATTTTTTTGAGTCAATTTCTGCAGGTAACATGTTGTTATCTAAATTTTTCCAGAGTTTTTCTAATTTTTGTTTTCTTTTATCCCTATTTATAATGAAAAGGGTCAAATTTTAATTTCATTAATATGAAATGAATTAAAATGCCAGTGAATTTTTATAGTAGGCTGCTTCTGGAGTTATCAAATCAGTAAAATGTTGGAACATATGGAAAAATGCTTAATAATGAATGTCATTTTAGAATTTTATTTTTTTCAAGATTCTACTCAACATGTCCCTTCAGAAACAAGTGAGGACCCTGAAGTTGAGGTGACTATTGAAGGTTAGTTATCTAAAAGCCTTGATTCCAAAGTTTACTTCTGGTCATAAAAATATTTGTCACATTCACATTGCTAAATATGCATTTCATTCATTTTGAAAGGAGACTTGTGGGACGAATACATGTGTTTGTGTGACCAAAGCAGCCCACTCCCCAGCAGTGCACCCCAGTGCTTTGGGAGTTTTAGATGACAGAATGAAGCCGTGAGAATTAGCATTGGCCCACAGGTGGCCCAAGCTATCCTTGCTATCAGTGGGAATTGAAAAGAGAAAAAAAAAATTATGACCAGACTTGATACACACAGAAACAGATTCTATAATCTATGGGGTTGTGATAGAAGAAGACTTATTTGGAGCTGGAATCCCTAATTTCTAATTAAGTAAAGTGGAGGAGAAAGTGTTGATAGTTTAGTGAGTAATTTTTAAAGCAAGTTCCCCCCGCCCCCGACCCGCAAATACTACTTAGAGGCTGACATACAATTTATCTTTCAGAACTGTTATTCTACAATACTCTTCTATAGCTAAGATTGCTTCAAACCTAGTTTTTTTTTTTTTTCCTCCAAAGATAAGCATGAACCTGATCAGCTGAGACAGTTTATCCTGAATTATTTGAAAATTCAGCTAATAGAATTATTAACTATCACTTCATATTAATAATTATTAAATGAGCATTGCGTTTTTCCTTTTAAATTAATGTCTCACGGCTGGGCACGGTGGCTTGCACCTGTAATCCCAGCACTTTGGGAGGCCAAGGTAGGCAGATCACTTGAGGTTAGGAGTTCAAGACCGGCCTGACCAACATGGTGAAACTCCATCTCTATTAAAAATACAGAATTAACTGAGTGTGGTGGTGTGTGCCTGTAATCCCAGCTACTTGGGAGGCAGAGGCAGGAGAATCACTTGAACCCTGGAGGCAGAGGTTGTAGTGTGCTGAGATCACACCATTGCACTACAGCCTGGGCGACAGAGTGAAACTCCATCTTAAAAAAAAATAATAATAAAATTAATGTCTCACAGTACTTTGGTAAGTTTCTTCCCCTCAAAGTACTTGTTTCTTGTGGTAAAATGTGAAAATGGTACAGTAAATTGCACAGTGGAACGTCTTCTTCACCCTCACTCTGCTCCCAAGTCCCAATACCGAGGGATGTATGTCAGCTTATTGTGTCTACTTCGAGAAATAATTGCAGTATATATCTTGATTTTTGCAAAAATACACTGATGTTTTCAGCACACATTACAAAGCAAATTTTAAAATATCACATATTCCATAGGCCTCCCCCTCCCGTAACTGTACATCTTGGTACTTTATTAGTTGTTTTCTAGCTGCTGCGTAACCTTTCTTGGTTTGCTGTCTGTCTCTCTTTCTCTCTTAACAACCTGTCGCCTACTGATGTCAATTGGTTATTTCTAGTGTTTGACTACTCCAAACTACTCAACGTGTCTGTCTTCATTGCTTCTAAAATATAAGTCCATTAGTAGCTTCCACCTAATATAAGAAATCTTTTCATATTTCATGTGTTAATATACAGATTTCTTTTTTCATTAATACAATTTTTCTAATCTAAAACATTTTGAATTGTTTACAGTCTAGCAATAAATAGTTGAAATTTAATTCCTTTTTAGTTAGAAACCTTATTAACAGGAAAAAAATTTAAGAACATATAAATATTATAAATACTCAGCTGTGCCCTTTCTATGGAGATGTTAATATAGGAGGTTATTAAAATTATAAAAATAAAGCTTTTAGGTGGGACTAATAACCATTTTGATTTGTCAAATCTTAAAGCAGATAGAGGCTGTATTAAAATGGTTTAGAATGTAAATACTTGCTTTTATAGCAAGTATTTTAAGAAAATCCAGAAATAAATGGCTCATGAACCTGAAGTGTACATCAGTCTTTTTGAACTTTAACTGTTTTGGATGGAGTAATAAATCTCATTTATTTAATTAAATTAAATTAATTTATTTATTTTTGAGACGGAGTTTCACTCTTGTTGCCTAGGCTGGAGTGCATTGGCGTGATCTTGGTTCACCGCAACCTCCGCCTCGCAGGTTCAAGCAATTCTCCTGCCTCAGCCTGCCTAGTAGCTGGGATTACAGGCATGCGCCACCACGCCCGGCTAATGTTGTATTTTTAGTAGAGACGGGATTTCTCCATGTTGGTCAGGCTGGTCTCGAACTCCCGACCTCAGGTGATCCCCCCCGCCCCCCCACCTCGGCCTCCCAAAGTACTGGGATTACAGGCATGAGCCACTGCACCAGGCCATTCATTTCTTTTAAACTCAGACGTTGTGCTGTACGCCTGACTTAACGTTCACATTTGTGATTAAGTAGCAGAATTTTGCTATGTAGACTTCTTTCTTTTCAGAAGACCAGTGAAATACCAGGTCTGAGTAAAGTAATTCTTTTAAAAGGTTGCATTTTCCATGTCATATGTGCTTACACACATACACATTTTATATATGTACATATAAAAGACATGTATATTATATAGAAATTATATCAACCATTGTATTCCTAATTTTTTTAGGAAGATAAAAAACTGTCTTGATACAAGGTCAAGTGAGAACTTACATGCACACCTCTGGTTAATAATGTGTATCGTATATTCTTTCTGAAAAGGTTACTTCCAGATGGTGGGAGCTATTTAGATAGCCATAGTTGGGAAATAAAATTTTGGTATATCTTCATAACAGAAAAATTTATAGCCATTGAAATGCTGATAATGTTTTCCAATAATCTGCAAAAAGATCTCTAATATAAGATGTTCAGTGGGAAAAAAAAAATCCTGCCTTAAAACAAGGCAACTTGAAAAGCAAAAGTGTATCTAGAGAATAATCTTAGTTTTGTTTTGGAAAATCCTCGTGCTTGATAGGAAGATGGACAGAAATAAATTGAGATATTCCTGCTTGCCTGGAGACGACTTAATTTTAGATATAAATCTTTTCACATTTCCCAAATCATTGATAGAAAAAAAAAAAAAAAAAAAAAAACAGAACTTTATCATCAAATAAGTCTGTCCAGGCCCGGCG